GTCTGCTTAGGAGTTGTTACTCACTCAATTTAAAAAAGTGAAAAAATCTATAAATTTGACGCCGTCTACATTTTCCTGATTTGTTAGAGATATGGCTTTGCTGGCCTCTTTCTGGTTCTAAATTTATTTATTTTGGACCCATGCTGCAATTTATAAATTTTTTTTCTATTTTCTTAACAACCAGGATGTAACACTACATGATTTGGATGCTGCCAATGCACGGCCACAAGGGGGGCAAGACATATTATCTCTAATGGGTCAGATGATGAAGCCCAGAAAGACAGAAATTACTGACAAATTACGACAAGAAATAAATAAGGTATTATTTTCCAAACACATTTGAGATCCACCTATGTGATGAATTTTGTGGACAATCTGCAGGGGTATGGTTTTAAATGTCATGATTTCTGTGGCCAATAGCCATTAATAGTATTACTGTGAAACTTCACTAAACTCCATATATATATATATATATATCTTATCTTCTTGTCAAGTTTTTATAGGTTTACTTGTATTTCTTACATGGTTCAAATGAGAGATGATGTACTGTACAGCATGTCCTGCATCTAAAGTCATTTATAGTTCTGTTGGATCAGATTGTAGGATCATAACATTCTAAAAGCTTTGAAAAACAATATGCTTTTATTGAATAAGTTTGAGATGTTACTCAATCTGTCCTTTTCAAGCAATAACTCCAGAATGATGTGATGGATTTTCATTTACCTGGCATGGTTTCCTGTAGCGAATTTATGTTTTCTTCATCCTTTTGTCCAAGTAAATTCTCAAATCCTAATGGTTTAAAGATTAGTTTAAAGCTTAGCTCTTTTCAGGTAGTTGCTGGTTTAATCCTAGTAAGATCCTGTTATGTTCTGCTCCCTAGAAGCTATTGCTATCTCATGTGGTCGTGAGTTTTAGAGTCATATGGGTTGCTTGTTCAATTTGGATACAAGGTTATGATTATTTGGATTTTGACTTCAACCCTTATAATAAATAATAAATTGCTTGTTAGAAAGATGGAATGTCTTTTAATTGAAATAATGGTGTTTGAGACAGGTGGTCAACCGGTATATTGATGAAGGTGTGGCAGAGCTTGTCCCAGGAGTTCTATTCATTGATGAGGTCTCATCCTTTTCTTTACTTGAGCACTTCTTATTTTATGATAGATGTCCTTAGATGCATGGTTACAATATATATTTTCTATGCAAGTATGTGTGCACTTACACATACATGTAGATCTAATATATTTTCTTGGATTATGACCTGTGCACATGCTCAAAGCACATTTTCCATCATGCATGCTTATGTTTTCTAAATCACAATCTGCAGGTGCATATGCTGGACATGGAGTGCTTTTCATACTTGAACCGTGCTTTAGAGAGCTCTCTATCTCCAATAGTGATTTTTGCTACAAATAGAGGAATATGTAATGTAAGGTAATGAAAATCTTTTTTGGAATTTTGGTATATCAACTATTCTGTTATTTACATCTAAAACCAAGTTGTATGTAATTTGAACTTGAATATAAGAGGAGCTATTGCTATTATGATGGTGACTTACTGTCATCACTTTACATCCAAGTGAAACAATGTCATTGGTTTGGTCTTGTTTTCTATGAAGCATAGAATGCTGAAAAAGCTTGATGCTACAATTAGATCATACCGAAAAGGATTTGATTGTTGGGGAAATATTCTTGTATTTATTCAAAATTTAGGCTCTGATTATTTGAGGAGCAGTGAGAGGATGAAATATGTCAAGTTCAAGTAAATTTATGTACCATGGAGAGTAGTGAAATGGAATTGTTTCTTGTCTGCTAAATGATATTGGCATACCATGGGAGGGGAGCTACATAGGTTGTGCACTATAGTAGTTACAGCCATTTTTTAATGAGGTTAGCCTGAAATTTACTGAGGATTGATGGTTGATGTAACTAAAAAAGCTAAATCTTTTTGGGCAAGGTAGATGGTATTGTAGGAAACAAACTCACACTACCTGCAACTGCTGCTTGCCTTTTTTTTCCTCTCTTTAATGGGTTCCAATTGGTCACCTATGCAACTTGAGGTAGCCCACCACTTGCTTTGGGTTATGCAAGCTAGTTTCTCACTTCGACTTGGGTTGGTGATAATTTGGCTTAAAGTGTAGTTATGTGCGACACTTAGGTGTATTTACAAAGGTAAATGGGTTAGTTATACTTTATTCTTGAAGTGACTTCAATGCTGTTTTGCTCAGATTTCAGATAGCATGATGTTATATTTAAGAAAGAGTGATTCTATTTGGGTGACGGGATTCTGCATGTCACTATAGATTTATAGGCTGTCTGGAATGCAGTAGCATGAAGTAAAATTGTAATGGATACTCGATATTTTGGAGTTTTCATCCCATCATCCATCTACCCTTCTCTCTCTCTTCTTTTCCTTTCTGTAACATCATTTTATTAATGTGGAGTGTTTATGTGGAAATTGCTCTTTCTTTCAGCTCAAGAGTAACACATAATCCACATGTACCTTTGTGTGTGCTTATAGAGGGTTAGCATAGTTTTACATGTTCATTTTCCAGGCATGCAATTTAAGAATCAGAATATTAGACCTCTTCTGCAAGATGAATTTTATTTTTGGCCCGAGTTATATTTTCTAGAGGTACACCTGATCTCATATATTCTCATTGGTTTCTGAAAAATGGATTTGCGTTTTTGCAGGGGTACTGATATGAATAGTCCTCATGGCATACCTGTTGACTTGTTGGACAGATTGGTGATCATCCGTACCCAGATTTATGGTCCTGCTGAAATGATACAGGTTAAAGGCCTGATTATATGTGCTTTACTGTCAGAATAACTTTTTTACTTGTCTCATGCATCACATAACAACCTAGCTATATTTTTACTTATTGTTTTCTGCAGATTTTAGCAATTCGTGCACAGGTGGAAGAACTGGTTGTGGATGAAGAAAGTCTGGCATTCCTAGGAGAGATTGGACAAAGCACATCGTTAAGGTGAGGCTTAAATCCTCCTTTTGCTCTATATCAGTTGCACTCCATCTGACGCATACTTAAATGTTTCTGTTTCTTTAGGCATGCTGTTCAGCTGTTATCGCCTGCTAGTATCGTTGCAAAAATGAATGGTCGGGACAGCATTTGCAAGGTAATTAGAATATTGGGAAGCAGCTGTTCTTCATGATTGTTGTTTATCATTAATTCAAGGAGTAAACATGTTTTTATATATGTATTTATAGGCGGATCTTGAGGAAGTAAGCAAGCTATATATAGATGCCAAGTCGTCAGCAAAGATTCTTCAAGAGCAGCAGGAAAAGTACATTTCATAATTATCCTATTTTATTTTTTTCTATTTCCCTGTAGTTTTTGGCTGTATTTTGCTGTGCATTGTGTTTGAGTAGCTTACGTCTCAGCAGAAGATACTGAAAGTTGAAGGGTTTTAGGGATACCGCTTTACTATGTCCATTGAGCATAGTATCTGCAATACTTGGAGGCCCCTACCTTTTTTTTTTTTTCTTTTAATGTTGGTCAATTCAAAGGTAAAATGGGCATTTAGGTGCTAATTGAGACGTTCCATTGCTGGCAATATGATGTAAATTGGACGGTTGCCACTGGTGGATTTTCGATTTGGTTGAACCCAATCCAAGGATTATTATATTTGTTGGTATTGGCTCTTGGTGTTCGATATTGCTGTTTGCATGGTTTTTGCCACGAGCTCTGACTCTACCTGGAAGAGCCATTGCTTTCCAATATTTGCTTTGCATGGATTTAGTAAAACCCTTATCCTAGCCTCGTCCTCCATCCTTATAATCTAAAAATTGCAATAAGTAATCTTTGCCCAATATCCTGTTGGACCCAATAACTAAAAGGCCAAGGACAAGTTAGACTGAACCCAATAAACCGACACGAAGAGACTAACTCAAAGGCCAAGGACACGTAAGACTGAACCCAAGAAACCCACACGAAGAGACCAGTCCATTTAAGTTCTGAGAATGTCATCCATACATCACATGGATCTGCCATCCGTTTATTTGTCAAGATAGAGTATGCCACTTAACCTCGCTAGGTTGGCATTTGCTACACTCGCTCGTGCAATGCATAGGACGTATAATATTCTCCAAGGAGATGGAACGTAAGACCACTTCTATTCCCAGCATTTCAAGTTAATTTTCAGTTTTTCTTACTTTCTTTTTCACTCAAATATGTACTTGATAATCGAAGTGTGTTTCGAAGTTCTTTGATTTTTTTTTTTTTTTACAGGTCAAATGTGTCTTTCAATCAAGCAACGTCTGCAGACTCCATCTCACCGATCAAAAAAAAAAAAAAACAACTCAGCAGGTTTCATCTAAAACCATCAATTAAAACTCATCTATAATGTCCAACATATTGAAACTAATATAAACAAAAAATCTTATCTATTTCTAAATTTCTTTGCATAAAAAGTTTTCTGATAACAACAGATACAGTATTGAAGTGAGGTGCATTGATAAATTCACAAAAAGACAAAAACATGTTTGGTATAGAATAAGCCCCGAGAAAATGTAGTTCGGTGAATCTATAAATGCACCTCCCATGTATAAGAATAAATAAACTACTAAAAACTTTGCAAAAATAAGTCATATATATATATATTTTAGTTTCAAAGGGGCAGAGCTTTACATCAATAGGAGAGAGAGAGGTTGGGGTTAAACTCTGGCCTTATGTCTTTTTTAAGTCTTACTTGGTCTTTAGACCAAACAGCTGAAGATAAAAATAAGACATATATATATATTTATGTGCTTAACATAATAAAAATTAAAAAAATAATAAATTTGAAAAAAAAATTTATTTGGACAACTCTTAAAATTTTTTGGACGTATTTAAAGATTAAAAACAAAAAAAAAATCTAAGGAAAAATTTCTTTGAATATATTTTTCGTTAATAAATATTAATAAATTTATGTCAATATTTTATATATATTATAAGTAACACCTAAAAAATTTTAGATATGCCATTGGAGGCTGTCCGTAGCCATAGGATGCAACGGTATTATTTATTGACGGAAACAAAACCTCTTTACCTTGAATGCTATACGTATATAGAATAAGATGCAGCGTTATTATTTATTGACGGCTGGTTTGGTGGCTTGTCTCTCATCCGCAATCACCTTGTATCTAGTAGATCCACAGGCATTTTTCCTGTACAACTACAAACTCAAGGATCTCCAACGTCCGCCAGTTTCTAACAGCATCGGCAGCACGTCCAGTACTGCTTCAGGGACGACTTTCGCCTTCTACAAGTTCAGCCTCCAATGGCCACCTTCTACGTGTACTTCCACGATGCCTCCTCCAGGGGGGGAATTGAAATGTGCAGGACCTATCCCTAATGCGTTTACCATCCATGGTTTATGGCCGCAGGATGCCCGTGACAACAAAATACGCCCATACGATGACGACCCATCTTGTACCACATCCGTACCTAAACGTCCAGATAAAATCATAGTATGCACATCTTACTATATAACCGATTTAGAGTTTACTACTTTTATTTTTATTGATGTGAAATACTTGCTAGTATTTATCGGTTATCTAACAATTTTTTTGGCCTTTTCTTTGTATTGTTGGTTTCAAAAGCCTGACCTGCAACCCATTGAACAAGAATTAAAGCAACTATGGCCAAACCTAAAGAACTCTGATAATGAGCGGTTAAACCAAGAATTCTGGAAAGAGGAATGGAGAAAGCATGGAATGTGTTCCGATTACGCTGAAGTTCCTTTCGGCTACTTCAACTCTTCCTTAGAACTCAGGAAAGGCTTTCATCCAGGTAACTTGATACTTATTGGCTCATACCAAAAAAGAATGCTGATTAATCAACTTATAATTCATTTGTGATATAGTGATGTACTGCTGTATATATTAAAAAAAAAAGTGTCCAAACACCGGATGGATTTTGAACATTTGAATCAAATTAGTTAACATATTTGTGTCTATGTTTTATGGTTGGCGCCAGTTTTTAAACTTGAACCTGGAGCAACTTACACGGCACAATGCGTTGCAGAAATAGTTCGAGCGCAAGTAGGAGCAGAACCAGAGATTGCTTGCAGCAAAAGTAGAGTGGAAAATAATAAGCTCCTACTCTGGGAGGTTCGTTTATGTTATAATAAGACAACATACCCCAAGCGAGAGGCGGTCCAAGACTGTAAGAAAGGCTTTTCAGGCCAATGTAAAAAATCGAATAATAAAATAAAGATTCCAAGCTCCCCCCAATACCCCTCCGGCGAGTACTAATCATTAAATGCCGAACCATTTTGCTGGGATTGGATCAGACTTTCAAGCTGGTAATAACTAAATGTGAAAATTGTATTACTTTTTCTAATGGGGGTGGCTGGTTTTGTGTGCATTTTTCTTATATATAAATAAGATAAATCTCTGAATAATTATTAATTATATATGGTTGAGAAACTATGGCACCACCCATGTACACCTAATTAAGGTTAATTTACTTATCTACCGATGTTTGTTTGTAATTATTGTAATCCCATCAGTTTGCTTCAATAAATTGTCATAAACATATATGTGAAGTAAACATGTATATGAGCAGTTTACTCAAAGTTATTTGCATATTTCTATTTCTCTTGGTTTAACTGGTATGTCCATATGTCGTATCTTTTGTATATTTAGAAATATTTGTTTTCACTATCTTAGCACTAAAAAATTAATTTTTTTTTAATATAAAGAAGACAATAATACGAGGATGGATCCACAAAATTATCTTTTAAACGTGACCGAATTATTTCACTGAATGAAATTCTAGTTTAAAATAATATTTTGTTATTAACTATAGTAGTTTGAGTTTTCTTATAAACAAATATTTTGACTGCAAATAATTCATAAAACAAATAATATTCTGTTTTATTCGTTATGTTATAATGAGGCTAAGAATTAGGTGGAATTTGGATAATAATGTATAATTTGGTCGATGAAATTTGCCTAAACGTGTATACTTTATTAGCTTCTCAACTTTCAACTTATGCAATTAACTCAAAGAACTATTATTTTGGTGTAATGAAGAGAAGATAATTGTTATGGAATATTTAATTCCTTAAAATGTCATCACATTAGCTAAATTAAAATAGACGTGTATTTAAAATTTTATTCAATTGATTTATATAATTATTATTAAAATATTACATTTAATACGTTTGGAGTTCAAATTTAAATATATGCTATCTTTTTTATTTTATTTTCCAAAAGGGATCTCTTTTATATAAAAACAAAAGTTAAATATTTATATTTAAACATGTCATTTTGCAATGTCATTATCTTTATACTTTAGAAAAGGAAAGAAAATAGAAACAACACCTTTATTAACATCTTTAAAAAATAAAGAAGGCAAGTTAATCCGTTATAAAAATAAAATGCATTTTGTGTAGTTTAAGGACTTATAAATCATTTTCGGATGGATTATTGCTTTATTATTATTATTATTATTATTAGCAATAATAGTATTAATATTATTATTAATAGTAGTAGTAGTAATAATAATAGTAGTAGTAATATGTTAAAAATAATTACATAAGTCAACTAACTTAAATTTTAGATTCATTATTACCCACCACCACCACCACCACCACTACTACTACTATCGACCATGGTATGCCCATCTATTTGATTGTGAACCATACAATATTCATCTTCATCTATAATTGGTTTATTATTATTATTATTATTGTGAACCATACAATGCCTTTTTATTATTACTACTACTACTTAAATTCTAGATTAATTATTATTTAATTTCGATGACTGATAAAAAAGATTTTCATTGTGTCGATTTCAAAATTGATCCCACCGACCATGCTATGCCCATCTATCTACTACTACTACTACTACTTATAAGTCAACTATCTTAAATTCTAGATTCATTATTACCTATTTGATTGTGAACCATACAATATTCATCTTCATCTATCTACTACTACTACTACTAGTAATATTGATCTTCATCTATAATTGACTTATTTATATAATAAAAAAATATAACAAGGATATGTGAAAAGAAAATTTTTTAATTTGTCTTTAAAGAAATTTTCTATCTCGAGATATTATTATTATGGATCCGACAAGTATCATTAATTAAAAGTAGGTGCGTAGCAAATGTGAACAAATTTTGTGTGGGGAAGCATACTGAAATTTGTCACACTTCATCATTAAAGTTGAGGTTACGTGTCGAAATAAAGAAATAAACGATAAAAGCTAAGAAAAAACGTCCAAGGAAAATTGAGGAATAATGTGAACAACCTTTAGACCTTAACTTTCCTATTAATAACACAAACTAAAGAAAAAAAATTGCACATTAAATGTAAGAGAAAGGGATGTAATTTAATGTATAAAGAAAATTACAATCTAAGGACAGAAAAAAAAAGAATTGTAAATGTAAGAATTTATATTTCAAATTTGTTAAATATTATCTTTTAAAAATAAGTATATAAATCAATTAAATTAAATATTTTGAGTTCAAATGAATAAAATTTTTAATGATTCTGTCTCATAATTAAGGTTCATAATACTCAATAAAACAAACTTTCCTATAATTACACGAACTCTCTAATAACATATTAAAAATATATAATAAGTACTCAAAAGGAAAAAGACAAAAATATGTTTGGTAGATAATATATAAGCCACCAAAATTTCTTTGGAAAGATCATTTTTAAAATGGAATGAGAATTAAGAAACTGTCATTTTGACAAAACAAAACTCTTTAATAAATATTATGATCACATAAAAGGCACAACCATAATATATAGCATAAGATTCGGTGGATTTCTATAGATATTGCTCACATGAACGAACTGATCTCCAATGAATATTTTCATACTTTTTAAAACTTGCTATGAATTACTATTCGTTTTGTCCAAAATATGAGTCACTTCCTCTTTAAAAAAAATCCAAAAAAATTGTATAAATAAGATTGTAATACAATAAATTAATTGTAATTTCACGTTGTGTGTAGAAATATTATATAAAACCTATATTTTTAAGTGATAGATTTTTATATAATTTTTTATTATGATTATTTAATTATAATATTGTAATAAACAATTATAAGAAATATGAATCCGAAAAAATAAGCTTTTATTTTATTAAAATAGAAATCTTGTAATGATATTAAGTTTTAAAATATCTAAGTATATACAAGGTTTATTCGCACAGGACTTATTATGCTCCGAATAAGAAATTATGAAATCACGCTTATTTACCATATTAATCCATAATTATTATTTTCTATAAGACCATCGTTACTTAATTTTATGTATATGTGATTTTAAAAGTACATTTCTCACATGATCAACTACATTAAAAATTTTATTCTTGAAATATAGCATTTCTCACATTGGTCTATTTTATTGAAAATTTTATTCACTAAATCTTCCTTAGAAGAACAAAATCGTGTTTAACAAAAAAAAAAAAAGGAACTTTTCTCACTATCTATGAAAATTAATTCTTATGGGTAGTACATATGCAAGTTATGATAATTAATGTATTGTCCGACTAAAATGAAATATCACTATCACAGCTGCATTGTACGCGGATAGAAAACCATATAGAGTTGTTGAGTGTTTGTGGAAAGCAAAATTGGTATTGCTTGTAACATTAATGTCGTCGTATTTATGGGTGGCTTCTACGGTGACTGCTGTGGTGGCTTGTGTCTCAGCCTGGTTTGGATTAAATCTACAGCCATTTACCTTGAACACCTTCTCGCTCCAGCGGCAATTTGCTATCACGACAGCGCCGAAAGCACCGACGACGGGGCCATTCACCTTCTACAAACTCAGTCTGCAATGGCCAGCTGCTGCTTGTAATTCTGGCCGCATGACTTGCAAACAACCTATCCCTAAAAAATTCACCATCCATGGTATCTGGCCACAAGATAGCAATGACGATCCAGTGCCCGCTTACGGTCCAACAAATCCTTGTACCACTGTCAGACCTACGCCTGCTAGTAATCTCCCAGTACGCACATGATCATCTTATCAATATTTGAAAATTTATACTTTCGTTTATGTGAAATTATATTAATTTGTCAGTTATCTAACAATTTTTTATGCCCTTCTTTTTTCTTCTTGTATAAAAGACTGAGCTGAATCCAATTCTAAGCGACCTACAATCGCTATGGCCAAACTTAAAGGACCCTCAGAACTTGAACCAAAACTTCATATTTTGGGCCCATGAATGGACAAAACATGGAATGTGTTCTGATTACCCTAACGACCCTCATGACTACTTCAACTCTGCCGTACTACTCAGGAATGGCTTCGATCCAGGTGACTATGTCTCGTATATAAACCTTACTCTTTTATGAACCAAATACAACTAGCAAGGAATTCATGTTGCTTCCACTTCCTGACATATTCTCTGATATGCTTTAATTATTGTTTTGATCCAGATATGGGACTTACACCTGGATCAAATTATACGGTACAACAAGTTGCAGCTGCAGTTCAAACCGCAGTAGGAGCCTATCCTGAGATTGCTTGCAACAGAGACAAAGTGACAAAGACACTTCAACTGTGGGAGATTCGTTTATGCTATAAAAGGGCAATGCCTCCCCAGACGGTCCAAAACTGTCCAAAAAGTTTCTCAGGCCAGTGCCGAAGCCTGACTGATAATATATATTTCCCTAACTAGTGCTCCTCACCTCTCATAAAATCTTTGAATAATGTCCCAAAGTAATGGTTGTAACACTTCGGCCTGCACCACCCTCAATATTTTTGGTTTTTCCTTATCTTCCCTTATTTTTAAATGATAATCAATGTGTTAAATTAATATTTAAGAACAAAAATATAATTAATGCTCTTTTTGTTCCTGAATTTAGTGATGCTACTATATTATATGCAATTTCTTTTAAATAATATTTTATTTATCTTTAATTAATGTCCAAGAACGAATTGATAAAAAAAAAAAAAACAAGTCTAATTCAAGATATTTCTATCACAAAGTCATTGTTCTCTGCTTGACAAGTATCAATATATTGAGAATATGTAGCATACTTAACAAATTTTTTGTTTGAAAGCTTGCTAATTTTTTATGCTTCATCAAAGATGAAATTATGTTTGCCGTGGGAATAGAGAAAATCATCATCAACACAAAAAATGTGTTTTGTGAAAAAAAAATATTAAACGTATATAATATAAATTCAAATTTTAATTAAAATGATTTATATTTTTTTAAGAAGTTAATTCCTATAAATACAAGAAGCTCTTTTCTTTTTCTAAAAAAAGAAACGAAAAATAAATTAAAAATGATGAGAAAAGAAAAAAATGGAAAAAAGAAAAAGAAACAAAGAAAGAGAAAAGTATTCTTACAAGAATAAACAAATCTGTAAGATAAATTTTGCAATAAACAAATCTATATGTATGGTGTGTAATATTTGTTACACTTTATCATTAAAGTCGAGGTTATCTTTGGTAGGAGGAAATAAATGACCAATATAAGCAAAGAAAACTGTATGAGGAACGATGTGAACAACCTTTAGACCTTACCTTTCCAAATAATAAAAGAAACTAAAAAAGTTCATAATCAAATTGGTCAACACCCTAGCTAGGCTAGCTATTTGCAAATTGAGCAAACTTTCTTATGACAATGGCACATAATTAAGTTTCATAATAACTAATAAAATAATCTTTTGAATTAGCTTAAATTAGTTGTTAAGGACAATAATTTTTAAAAGATGATATTTAATATATATGAAATTGGAATGATAATATTTATAATTTCTTTCATTATTCTCATAATATAATTTTGTATATATACCAACAAAAAACCAATCTTTATTTATTGCATGAACTCTTTACTAAGGTATTAAAAAATTTATTAAGGTATATTAATAAATACTTAGAAAGAAAAAGAGAAAAACATGTTTGGTAGACAATAAGCCACAAAATTTTCTTTGGAAAGACAATGTATTTAAAATCAACCAAGAAACTGTGATAAAACAAAACTCTTTTAAAAAGAAAAAATACTATGATCACATGCATAAAAATCACAACCATGTTATATAGCATAAGATTGGGTGAATTTCTATAGATGAAAAAAGAAAGTTCATGAATTATAATCCAAACACCTTATGTTGCTGGTTACGTACAGGAACTGATGTCAACTGAATTATTCCTTACTTTTTAAATTTGCTACGAATTACTATTCCTTTTGTCCTCTTTCAGAAAAAAATCCAAAAAAAATTGTATACTATACGCAAGTAGAATAAGATGCAGCGTTATTATTTATTGACGGCTGGTTCGGTGGCTTGTCCCTCATCAGCAATCACCTGTTATATAGTAGATCTACAGGCATTTTTCTGTACAACTACAAACTCAATGATCTCCAAGGTCGACTTTCTAACAGCAGCAGCAGCAGCAGGAAGTCCAGTACTGCTTCAGGGACGACTTTCGCCTTCTACAAGTTCAGCCTCCAATGACCACCTTCGACGTGTACTTCCACGATGCGTCCTGGACCAGGATTGAATAGTCAAGGACGTGTCCCTTATGAGTTTACCATCCATGGTTTAAGGCCGCAGGTTGCTAATGACAAATAAATACCCCCCATACGATAAAGACCCATCTTGTACCAAACGTCCATATCCAATCATCGTATGCACATCTTAATAATCGTTTTAGGGTTTTTACTTTTATTTTTATTAATGAGATAATATTATTCAGTTATCTAGCTTTTCTTTTTTTTTTGGCCTTTTCTTTTTGTATTGTTGGTTTCAAAAGTCTGACCTGCAACCAATTGAATAAGAATTAAAGCAACTATAGGCCAAACCTAAAGAACTCTTATAGTGAGCCGTAGAACAAAGACTTTTGTAAAAAAGGAGTGGGAAAAGCATTGAACGTGTTCTTATTACCCTCAAAATCCTTTAGGCTACTTCGACTTTGCCTTAGAACTCAGAAAATGCTTTCAACCTGCAGGTGACTTGATACTTAGCTCATACCAAAAAATAATGCTAATTAATCAACTTATAATTCATTTGTGATATAGTGCTGTGTGTATATATATATGTGTGTGTGTGTCCAAACATCTGATGGATTTTGAACTATTGCATCAAATTAATTGACATATTTGTGTCTCTGTTTCATGGTTGGACCCAGTTTTTAAACTTACACCTGGAGCAACTTATACAGTTCAAGAAGTTGCAGATTCAGTTCGAGTGGAAGTAGGAGCAAAACCAGAGACTGCTTCCGGCACAAGTAGAGTGGAAAAAAATACGCTCCTACTCTACGAGGTTCGTTTATGCATACCAAATTAAGGTTAATTTACTTATCTACTGATGTTTGTTTGTAATTATTGTAATCCCATCCGTTTGCTTTTAATAAATTGTCATATATATATATGTGTGTGTGTGTGTGTGTGTGTGAAGTAAACATGTATATGAGCAATTTACTCAATGTTATTTGCATATTTCTGTTTCTCTTGGTTTAAAGAACTTAATTGGTATATCCATATATCGTATCTTTTGTATATATAGAAATATTTGCTTTCACTATAATCTTAGCTCTAAAATATCAATTTTTTTAGTACAACGATGACCATAATATGAGGATAGATTCACCAAATTATCTTTTAAACGTGACTACTGAATTAAACTTTAATTGATAAAAGACAAATCTTTTACTAACTATAGTAGTTTGAGTTTTCCTGTAAACAAAAATTTTGACTGTAAATAATTCATAAAACAATTAATTATATTCTGTTTTATTCTTTATATTGTAATGAGGTTAAGAATTAGGTGGAATTTGGATAATAATGCATAATTTGGTCGATAAAATTTGCTCAAATATGTATGCTTTATTAGCTTCTCAACTTTCAACTTATGCAATTAACTCAAGGAACTATTATTTTGGTGTAAATAAGAGAAGGTAATTGTTATGGAATATTTAATTCCTTAAAATAAAAATGAATTTAAATTTTTGTTCGGTTGGTTTATACAACTATTTTTAAAAAGTTACATTTGATAGATTTGAATTTAAATTTAAATATCTGCTATCTTTTTTAATCTCAAAGTATAATTTTTTAAATAAAAAAATAAAATAGTTAAATATTTATATTTAAATATCTCATTTTGCAATAATGTCATTATCTTTATATTTTAGAAAAGGAAAGAAAATATAAACAACACCTTTAAAAAATAAAGAAGGTAAATTAATCCGTTATAAAAATAAAAATAAAATGCATTTTGGGTGGTCTACATTAATTAAGGACTTATAAATCATTTTCGATGGATTATTGCTTTATTTTTATATATATATAAGGCCTGGCAATTTAAAAAAAAAAAAGAGTTATAAATATTAAAATTTAAATTTTAGACATAATAAATATTATTTTTTAAAAATAATTACATAAATTAATTAAATTAAATCTAAATTCAATTATTGTTTTATTTCGATGACTAATAAAAAATATTTTCATTATGTCTGTTTCAAGATTGATCCCAGCGGCCATCCTGTGGCTAAGCCCTTCAATTTGATTGTGAACCATACAAAATCCATCCTCATCTATTTTTGACTTATTTATACAATGAAAAATAAAAAATATAACATGTTTATAGGAGGATATGTTACACTTCATCATCAAAGATGAGGTTACGTTTGGTCAGAGGAAAGAAATAAACAATAAAAGCAAAGAAAAAATGTCCAAGGAAAATTGAGGAATAATGTGAACAACCTTTAGACCTTAATTTTCCTATTAATAACACAAACTAAAGAAAAAAATTGCACATTAAGTACAAGAGAAAGGGATGTAATTTAATGTAAAATAAAAAATCATAGTTTAAGGTAAGAAAAAAAAAAGTGCAAGTGATAGAATTTATATTTCAAATTAGTTAAATATAATCTCTTAAAAATAATTATATAAATCAATTAAATTAAATATTTTAAATTTAAATCGAATAAATTTTTTAATGATACTGTCCATAGTTAAGGTTCATAATACTCAATAAAATAAACTTTCCTGTAATTACACGATGATGCTATTTGTACCCTAATTTCTTCTCTTCACACCTTAGCTACTTATATTAACATTTAATTTTTCACTCAATACACCTCAAATTCAAAACACAAATTTACCAAAATTCCAAATGCTCTATCTCCTCACACTCAATCTCTCTCTTTTCTCTTCTCAACCGAAAATCTAAAAGATTTTAATCCCCAATCAATTCAAATTTAAAGAAAATTTTCACTTCTTTAAAGTTAAAAAGCATAAAATCAAAGACCAATTGTTTGTTTTTTCCACTTTTATGTTAGATTTTATGTTTAATTTCGTAAGATTTTATATTAAAATATTTGAGTATAATTCAAAACTTTCAAAAATAAATTTTTTAAAGTTCTTAAAGGTTTTCGAAAAAATTTTCAGAAGGGGATGCTTGGAAGTTTTTAAGAACTTTTGGAAATAGATTCTTAAAAAATTTTAAAAGTTTTTGGATATTCATTTAAAAAAACTTTTAATAGTTTTCGAAAATGAATTTTTGGAATGAAATGTGAAAGATAAAAAAATAATTGACTAATAGATATTGAAATAATTTTATTAAAAATTAAATTTCTAGGATGTATTAAAAAAAAATTATAGTGGAAACAGCAGCACTCTTACACGAACTCTCTAATGACATATTAAAAGCATGCAGTATGGTAAATTAATAAATACTCAAAAGGAAAAAGACAAAAATACGTTTGGTAGATATTATATAAGCCACAAAATTTTCTTTGGAAAGATGACTTTTAAAATGGAATGAGAACCAAGAAACTGTAATTCTGATAAAACAAAACTCTTCAATAAATACTATGATCACATAGAAGGCACAATCATGATATATAACATAAGATTCGGTAGATTTCCATAGATACTGCTCACATGCATGAGCTGATCGCTAATGAATATTTTGATACTTTTTCAAATTTACTATGAATTACTGTTCGTTTTGTCCAAAATATGAATCACCTCCTTTTTTAAAAAATATCCAAAAAAGTTGTATAAATAGGATTTTGTTAATCTCATTATAGTTAAGAAATTATTATAATATTAATCAATCATAATTTAATATTATATAGGGTTTATTAAAAAAATTGTAAAATTTACATTTTTAAGTGATATACTCTTACATAATTTTTAATTATGATTGTTTAATTATAATATTGAAATAAAAAATTTGTAAGTGATATGAATCCAAAAAATAAGCTTGTATTTTATTAAAATAGAAACCTTGTAATGATATTTAGTTTTAAAAAATCCAAATACCTACAAGATTTAATCGCATAGGATTTTTTATGCTCATAATAAAAAGTTGTGGAGTCACCATGTCTATCAGTAATTATTTTTTTGTAAGACAAGTCGTTACCTGATTAATTTTATTTTTATGCGATTTGAAAGGTGTATTTCTCAAATTAATTAACTGCATTAAAAATTTTACTCTAGAAGTATTGCATTTCTCACATTGATTTACTGTATCGAAAATTTTACTCTCAAAATACTCTTTAGAAGAATCAAATCGCGTTTAACAAACAAAAGGAACTTCTCTCACTATCTATTAACATTAATCCTTATGGGTAGTTGATATGCAAATTATGATAATTAATGTATTGTCTAACTAAAACGAAAAATCACTATCAAAGTTCCATTGTACGCGGATATTAATTAGTGTTATAAAAATCGCCCCCTTGAATAATACAATAGACAACCGTAGAGTGGTTGAGTGTAGGTAGAAAGCAAAATTGGTATTGCTTGTAACAATACCGTCGTATTTATGGGTGGCTGCTATGGTGACTGCTGTGGTGGCTTGTGTCTCAGCCTGGTTTGGATTAAATCTACAGCCAGTTCCCTTGAACGCCCTCAGACTCCAACGTCAATTTGCTACCTTAACATCTCCCAGAATGCCGAAGAAGGTGCCGACGCCGTTCTGCTTCTACAAACTTAGTCTGCAATGGCCACCTGCTGCATGTAATTCTGGCGACATGACTTGCAAAGCACCTATCCCTAAAAAATTCACCATTCATGGTTTATGGCCACAAAATAGCCATGACAAACCAGTGCCTCCTTACAATCAATCAAATCCTTGTACCAGTGTCGAACCAACTCCTGCCAAAAATCTCTCAGTACGCACATGATGGTCATCCTATCAATATTCTAGAATTTGCTTTCGTTTATATATGTGAAAGTATTAATTTGTCAGTTATCTAACATATTTTTTTGCCCTTCTTTTTTTTTTTTTTTCCTTGTTTAAAAGAATGAGCTGGAACTAATTCTAAACGACTTAAACTCAGTATGGCCAAACTTAAAGGACTCGAGGAAAAACTTAAAATTTTGGAAGCAAGAATGGACAAAACATGGGATGTGTTCTGATTTCCCTAACCGCCCTCGTGACTACTTCAACTCTACCGTACTGCTCAGGAAATACTTTAATATTTCAGGTGACTATACCTCGTATATAAACCAAATACAAATAACAAGGAATTCATGCTGCTTCCACTTTCTAACACATTGTCTCTGATCTGATCTGCTTTAATTATTGTTATGATCCAGTTATGGAACTTACACCTGGATCAAATTATACGGTACAACAAGTTGCAGCTGCAGTTCAAAGTGCAGTAGGAGCCTGTCCTGAGATTGCTTGCAACAGAGACCAAGTGAATAAGACACTCCAACTGTGGGAGATCCGTTTATGCTATAAAAGGACAATGCCCCCCAAGATGGTCCAAAACTGTCCAAAATGTTTCTCAGGCGAGTGTCAAAGCCTGACTGATAGTATAACTTTCCCTAACTAGCTAATGCTCCTCCCCTCATAAAAAATCTTTGAATAAAGTCTAAAAATAATGGTTGTAACACTTCCGCGTGCACCACCCTCAATATTTAAGGTTTTCACTTATCTCCCCGTATTTTTTAAGAAATGTTAATCACTGGTTAAACGGATATTTAAAATAAATATGTATTCAATGCATTTTCTGTTTTTGAATTTAATAAAAATAATGTGAATGTGAAGTTTATAGTTTAAGTTGTTTATATACGCCTACAGTCCAACATATTATATTTAAGGTGAATTTTCTTTTGTAAAAAAAAAAATTGTATAAAATGAAATTTCTTTTAAATAGAAATGAATCCATGAGAGAAAACACATTTAATTCAAGATATTTCTATCTTGAGATCATTATTCTCAACTTGACAATTACCAATAATATTGAGAATAGGTTGCTCATATGACAAGTTTTTTTGTTCGCGAGCGTGTGAATTTGTTATGTTTCATCAAAGTCAAATGATGTTTGGTAGGAAGGAAAAAAAATTACTGTCAACATGGAAAATGTTTTTTTTACCTATAAAATATATTAGACGTGTGTAATATGAATTTTGAGATTTAATTTAAATAATTCATATACTCTATGTAAAGTTTAGAAGCTTTCTTTCCAAATGGGGAAACCAAGACTACTGACAAGATAAATGAAAATTTGTGAGAAAAGAAAATAATAAAAAAAAAATGAAGACAAAGAAATTAAAGAGAAAAGTTGCTTATATATTCTGTTTCTCACTCATAGAAATTAAACATGGAATCTCAATGTGTAAATTCAATTTTCCTATATTTGACAAAAAAAATTCAAAGATAAAATAGATAAATAGTCACTCAACTTTAGGATCATTTTAAATGATTTTTAAATATTAATTTTTTAATTTAATCATTTAAATTTAAGTAAATTGTCACATCAATTATAAGTATCATATGATATTATCACGTCATTTGACAAACAATGTGATATTATAAATTTAAAAAAAATAAATAAATTTTAGTCAATTTTTAAAATTTTTTATTTTGATAATTTAAATTTGTAAATTTATAATTTAATCATTGACAAATAAATTTTCAATTTTTATAAAAAATATAAATAATCATTTGATATTTTATTTTGTGAAATTAAATTATAAATTTTTTATTTTATTATAATTATATTATTTAAATTTAAAAAATAAATGAATATTATCTAATTATTAAAATTACTAAAATAACACGTGATAACTGACACGGCAATCATGTAAGCATATTGTTAAACAATAACAATTAACTAATAAAAAATACTAACTTAAACTTAACCAATTAAATTAAAAAAATTAATATTTATATCTAAAATTAAGGGTCTATTTATGTATTTTTTTCCAAAGTCAATTGTCCTTGACTTCCATTCATTCTAGCTACGTTAATGATATTGAACTAATCCACAAAAAGAGGCGCTTCTTCTCCTTAAACGGATCCATCTTATCAAATAGGAATTTCCTTCCCTCGAGCAGGGCACGAAATGTGAAACACTCCCATCTACTAACGTCTAGTGAAATAACGATGGGTAAATTTGATAATTTACAAAATAATATAAATAAAAAATATAAAAATAATATGATTTAAAATTTAATAAAATTATAAATAAATTTAATAAAATTTAAAAATTTATAATTTATATTTTTATGTCGATATAAATGATGATACGTAATTTTTATATAAAATATGAAATAAATATAATATTTTATATAATACGATAATATGAATTATCAAATGTAATAATAGATAATATTTAGATGAAATGTATGAATTTTTTAATTAAAAATATTTGATTCAAATTTTTTATAAAATTTAATAAAAAAATAATTTTATGTAAAAAAATTTATACTGCGACAAGGTCTTCCCCTCAAAATCACCTTCCTTTTTTTCCAAATCCAAATTTTCCCTTCAATATTTCAGTTTAATTTTTGTTGATAAAATTCGGCTAATGGATCCATAACCAGAACAATACAATCTCACGTTGATACCCCGTTATTCTTGCAGGTAAATCGCTTTCTACTGTCAACTCTAAATTTCTTTTTTTTTTTTCTTTTGTTAATTATTATATTCAATTGTTGTAGCAGTTTAGTGTATATATTTAGTTACAAAGTTTCAGTTTTATTTTTTTATCACTGGTCCAAGCTAAGTTCTTACTGTCACTCTGGGTATTCCATTCTAAATATTTTATTTTTTTTATTTTATTAAAAAATTACATGTATAAGTTTTTCCTATTCGTTAAATCTCCACGATATCATTAAAAAATTTTTTTTATCTTATTAAAAAATTACAAGCAGAATTGAGCTACCATTAACGGTGGTGATGGAAATCCTCTCAAAGCTTCCAGTTAAATCCCTCATACGTTTCAGGTGCGTTTGTAAGCCGTGGTGTTCTTCTTTTCAAACCTCTCATTTCATTACCAAACATCAGCATAACGACCTCAAAAACAACAACCTTAATCTCCTCCTCAAACGTTGTCATGGTAACACACGTGATGACATCCATTATTTCTCTGCACTTTCAACTGAAAAAGGCCTAAACTTTTTAGTAAAAGAGAACATCCACTTACCCTTTTTTCAGAATTGTTGGTTTGCTCCTGTAGTTTCTGGTCCTTCTAATGGATTGCTGTGTTTAACATGACGCGGTAGGTTGCCCTGTTGGAACCCATCAACCAGAGAGTTTAAAATCCTTCCTCAATCCTCTGTGAGCGCCCTCCTTCCGTAGATTCCACTAGTTTTGGTTGCCTTGGGTTTGGGTTTGATTTCTAAACTGATGACTACAAAAGTGTAAAGATTTGTTAACTAATTATTTTGAGGAGAATGAAAGAGGAAGGCTTTCTAGCTGATTGGAACCACCAAGTGAGTTGTATTCACTTCAAGTGATTCCTGTGAAGGAAATTTCAGTTTCCTGAGGCACATCCTTATGGTTTCCTTTTGTTTAATAATTACAATAAATGGTTTTTTATTTTATTGGCTGGGGGCAACTGGGATTCTGATTACCTATTCTTTTTCATTTGACATGGCTAATGAAAACTTTCAACTTTACCCCTTGCCAAGTTTGGTGGGTCTTTAGCACAATATTATTTGCAACTTCTGGACTTTAATGGATTGCTTGGTGCTATTGTTTACCTAAGGGAGGGAAACTGAAATGTCGTTTGATTTATGGGTTATGAATGGATCATGACTAGACATTTAGTATTGAATCTGTTTCTGGAGTTGAGAGGCCATTGGGTTTTTGGAAAAATGGTGAATTGTTTCTTGGGGCTCAAATCATGAACTAGTGTTGTTTGAATCCTGCACCCGAGAGCTTAAGAATCTTGGTATCCATGCTTATCAGAATACAATGCAGCTTATTCCTTATGTTGAGAGCTTGGTTCCAATCAATGGAACATCAGAGCATGAGGAACATATAATACGTCAGCCGGCTGGTAGATATTGAAAAGGAAGAGGGAAAGGGAAATAGAACAAAAGGGCTAAGAAAAAATGGTAATTTTTTTTTCTCTTGGTAAATACTTATGCAGTTGATATTGACTATGTTCCCTTGTGAGCTTCTCCAATAATGCTGTTATTGTTTGGATTTTAAACAAAAGTGTTAAATATTCTGTAAAAACCTATATGTTAATGTCATGTGACAAAAAATAATTGATCTCATCATATTTTTTTATGGTTTAGATAAAAAAATTATATACATATATTTAATTTATATTAAAAAATTTTTGATAATATGTGATGAATACATAATTTGATAATATTTGTCAAACGATGCATGTATAAATCAATATGATAAATAAGAATAAAGTTTAGGTTAATATAGTATATAATTTAAAATTTCGGAGTTTATAAATTTTATATTATTTGAAAATTCAAAATATAAATTGTACATTTTATTTCTTGGCTATCATTTGGTACATTTTTTTATCAAATTCAGATATAAAAATTGTGATTAACTCTTTTTTTTTTTTTTTCAAGTCAAAGTTAAAAGTGTAGTACAAAGAGGCTTACCGGGTGAATAACCTATTAGTCTATTTGTCTTATTTTCTTGTATTCAAAAAATAAGTTCAGAAAATAAAATATCCTAATTTTGAATATTTAACTTTCGGGTAAAGTACATAATTTATCATGATCGTATTTTTAAAATAATTATTTAATTATTAAAATTTTTATTTAGTTACTAAAATTTAAATAATTAATTTTTTCATTTAATCATTAATCTCTAAAAATATACTAACATGATAATACTTAATCAATTACCAATTGTCATGTGAAAGCACTAAATCATTAAAAGAAAAAATGTATTTTTATGTATTTATAAGCGGATCTCGAGGAAGTAAGCAAGTTATTATATATATAAATCCCAAGACGTCGGCAAAGATTGTCGAAGCGCAGAAGGAAAAGGTACATTTCATAATTATCCTATTTAATTTTTTTTCCTCTAATTTCCCAGCAGTTTTAAGTTGAATTTTGTTGTGCATTGTGTTTGAGTAGCTTCCTTCTCAGCAGTAGATACATAAAGTTGAAGGGACTAATTTAGGGATATTGCATTTTGGATGGTTTTTGCCACGAGCTCTTTAAATCTCTCGGGAGGTGCCATTGCTCTCCAAAATTTGCTTTGCATAGATTTAGCAAAAACCGTTGTCCTAGCGTTGTCCTCCATACGTATAACTTAAAACTCTTAGTAATAAATTTTAACTAATGATCTTGTTGGACCCAATAAGTCAAAAGGCCCAAAATATCAAGGTTGAGCCCAAGAAACCTGCAGAGGAAAAGTCAAACAGTTAGCTTCCTAAACGTCACCTGCAACTAACTGTAATTAAATTATTATATTTTATATACTATAAATTATTAAATTATTAAATCTACCAATATTATATCATATTACATGTTCTTTTAAAGATTTGACTTACACTTTACTTGTCTTAACTCGATAAATATAACATTAATTGGGTTCGTGTCATGCATAAAATATATAAAAAAACTCCAAATACGGGGTTGGAAGGTGAGGGCATCTCCATTCCCAACATTTCAAGCTAATTTCAAGCTTTGTTTACTTTCTTCTTTGTTCAAATACTTACTTGAAAATAGAAACGTGTCTCAAAATTTTAATTCCATGTTCCTTTGACTTCTTTTATAGGTCGAACATGTCCTCAATCAAGTCGCGTATAGACTTCAACCCATCAAACCCCAAAAACACATGAACAGATCTCATCTGTAGCCATGCAGTGAGGCAAATTAACAAATTTACAAAAAAGACAACCATGTTTGGTACGGGACACAACGATTTTGAAAAAAGATAAGTAAGGTAAATTAATAAATTCACAAGAAGACAAACATATTTGGTATGAAATAAGCCACAAGAAAATTATTCTTACAAGAATAAACAAATGTGTATCTAAGATCATTTTTGCAATAAACAAACTTATATATATATATATATATATAGAAAAATGAGTAAATTTTTCTTAAGAAAAATTCTATCTCGAGATATTATTATTCTAAATCCGACAACTACCATTAATCGAAAATGGGTGCGTAACAAATGTGAACAATTTTTGTGTGAGGTTACGTTTGATAGGAGGAAATTAAGAAATAAACAATATATGCAAAAAAAATGTCCAAGGAAAATTGAGGAATAATGTGAACAACCTTTAGACCTTAAGTTTCCTAATGATAACAGAAACTAAAGAAAAAAAATGGCAGCCTAAAGATAGGAGAATAGGTTGCAATTTAATGGAAAAAAAATTGTAACTTAATGATAAAAAAAAATTGTAGATATTAAAATTTAAATTTTAAATATATTAAATGTTAATTTTAAGATAGATTACATAAACTAATTGAATTAAATCTTGAATTCAAATTGAACAGACCTTTTAATGATACTCTCTTATAAGTAAGATTCATAATAATCAATAAAACAACCTTCCCTAATTGCAAGAACTCTCTAATGACATATTAAAAACATGTAGAAAGGTAAATTAACAAATGCTCAAAAAAAAAAAAGACAAACAAGTTTGGTAGTCAATAAGCGACAAAAAATTCTTTGGATGGACGATATTTAAAATCGATTGAGAACCAAGACACTGTCATTCTGATCAAGCAAAACTACTTAATAAATACCATGTTCACATAAAAATCACAGCCATGATAGATGCTGCTCACATGCATGAACTGATCTCTAATGAATTTTTTCAAACTTCTCTAAATTTGCTATGAATTACTATTCGTTGTTGTCCAAAATATGATTAACCTCCTCTTTCAAAAAAATCCAAAAAAAAAAAAAATTGTATGAAAAAGATTTTGTTTATCTCATTATATCTAGGGAAAATGAGCTTATAGTTTACTAAAATAGAAATCTAGTCATGATACATTAAGTTTTAATAAATTAAGTAGGTAAACTATTTAATCATATGAGATTTATCATGGTCAAAATAAAAAGTTATAAAATCACTTTTATTTATCATGTCTAACATCGATCTACTACATTTAGGATTAAATTTAAAATTTTGTTTTCGGGATACTCCTTAAAAAGATCATATCTTGATTAATAAGAAAAATGAACTTCTATCATTATCAATTAAATTAATCCTTGGGGGTTGTCCATATGCAAATTATGAAAATGTGATAATTAATGTAATTGTCTAAGTAAAATGAAATCTCACTACCATGTAGAGTTCCATTGTACACGGATATTAGTGTTATCAAAATCGCCCTCTTGAATAATGCAATAGACAACCATATAGAGTTGTTGAGTGTTAGTAGAAAGCAAAATTGGTACTGCTTGTAACAATGCCGTCGTATTTATGAGCGGCTGCTGCTATGGTCGCTTGTGTCTCAGCCTGGTTTGGATTAAATCTACAGCCATTTACCTTGAACACCCTCAGGCTCCAGCAACAATTTGCTACCACAACAGCTCCGAAAGCACCGCCAGGGCCGTTCACCTTCCACAAACTCAGTCTGCAATGGCCACCTGCTGCATGTAACTCTGGCCAGATGACTTGCAAACCACCTATCCCTCGCGAATTCACCATCCATGGTATATGGCCACAATATAGCAATGACAATCAAGTGCCCCCTTACAATCCAATTACAAATCGTTGTACCAATGTCACACCTACTCCTGCCAGTAATCTCCTAGTACGCACATGATCATATTATCAATATTTTAGAATTTTTACTTTCCTTTATCTGAAATTATATTAATTTGTCAGTTATCTAACAAAATTTTCTGCCCTTCTTTTTTTTTCCTTGTATAAAAGAATGAGCTGAATCCAATTCTAAACAACTTATCATCACTATGGCCTAACTTAACGGATCCTCAGGACTTGAGCTCAAACCTCAAATTTTGGGAACATGAATGGAAAAAGCATGGAATGTGTTCTGATTACCCTGACCAACCTCGTGACTACTTCAACTCTGCCTTACAGCTCAGGAGAGGCTTAAATCCAGGTGACTATTTCTAGTATATACTTAATTAAACCTCACTCTTTTATGAACCAAATAGCTGGGAACTCATGTTACTTCCACTTCCTAACATATTTTCTCTGATATGCTTTAATTATTGTTTGGATCCAGTTATGGGACTTGCACCTGGATCAAATTATACGGTACAACAAGTTGCTGCTAAAGTTCAATCAGCAGTAGGAGCCTTTCCGGAGATTAATTGCAACAAAGTGAATAACATAGTCCAACTGAAGGAGATTCGTTTATGCTACATCAGGGCAACGCCTCCCCAGACGGTCCAAAACTGTCCAAAAATTGGATCAGGCGATTGTAAAAACCGGAATGATAACATAACTTTCATTAGCTAGTGCTGCTCTCCTCATAAAATCTTTGAATAATGTCTAAAAATAATGGTTGTAACACTTCCGCTTGCACCACCGTCAAAATTTAAGGTTTACACTTATCTACCCGTATTTTTAAGAAATGTTAATCACTATCAAACTGTTTAAACGGATATTTAAAATAAATACGTAATCAATGAATTATCTGTTTTTGAATTTAATAAAATTAATGCGAATATAAAAATTTATAATTCAATTGATTCATGTAATTTTATAATATTAAATATATTTAAAATTTAAATTTTATGACCTATTGTCCGGTGAATTCTTTCGAAAAAATAATGCATTTAAATAAATTTTTTTTTAAGTAAAAATGAATCCATGAGAGAAAAAACGTCTAATTCAAGATATTTCTACCATGAGATCATTGTTCTCAACTTGAATATTATCAATAATATTGAGAATAGGTTGCATATATGACAAGTTTCTTGTTAGAAAGCTTGGGAATTGGTTATGCTCCATCAAAGTCAAATGATGCTTGGTAGGAAGAAAGAAATTTAATGTCAACGTGGAAAATATGTTTTTTACCCATAAAATATATTAGTTGTGTGTAATATGAATTTAAGATTTAATTTAAATGATTTATTACTTAATTTATGCAAAGTTTAGAAGCTCTCTTTCCCAACAAACAAACAAAGAATATTGATAAAATAAATGTAAAATGGTGAGAAAAGAAAAATAAGAAATTAAAAAGAAAAGTTACATATTCTGTTTCTCACTTGCAGAAGTTAAACATAGAATCTCAATGTGTAAATTCAATTTTCCTATATTTCACAAAAAAAAAAAATTCAAAGATAAAATAGATAAATAATCACTTAATTTTATAATTTATTTAAATAATTATTTAAGTATTAATTTTTTAAATTTAATCATTTAAATTTAAGTAAATGATTTTTTATTATTTAACTATTAGTGAGCAATGATATAATTATCTTGTTAACTATTAGGTGTCACATGATACTGACAATTCATCTTGACAATATGATATTATAATTTTTGAAAAATAAATAAATTTCAACTATTTAATTTTTAAAAAATTTTTATTTTGATCGCTAATCCTTATAAATTTATAATTTGATCATTAATAAATAAATTTTTAAATTTTATAAAAAATATAAATAATAATTTGATATTTTTATTATGTGAAATTAAATTATAAAAAAATACTTACTCAAACTTAATATATTAAATTTAAAAATTAATATTTATTCTTAAAATTAAATGTCTATTTATGTATTTTACCCAAAAGTCAATTGTCAATCGTAGCTGCATTAATGATGTTGAACTAACCCAAAAGAAGAGGCTCTTCTTCTCATTAAACGGATGTATCTTATCAAATAGGAGTTTTTTTCCCTACACATCTCGGCGACCACAAATCTCACCGACAAAGATGACAAAAGAAATCAGAAAAGAATTTTTTGTGCATAAGCGGCCTTGAGCTGGCAGCTATCTTGAATTGATAAACAAAAAATTTTATTTTTCAGACTGTAACTTATATAAAATAGAAAACAAATTAGACCAAATAAATTAATATTTTGATCAAAATTTTGTTAATTTTTAAAATATTAATTTGATACCCAAATAAGATGATTACTGTAGAATTCCCATCTAGTCACGCCTAATGAGATTACGACGGGCAACAATTTGATGAAATTAGTTAAAAGAACAGTACCAAATTTTTTATTAAAAATATTTAATAAAAATATTTTAATAAGATTCAATAAAAAAATTATACTGTGACAAAATCTTCCCTTGAAGATCACCTTTCTTTTTCCCAAACCCAAATGTTCTCTTCAATATGTCAGTTTCATTTTTTGTTGATAAAATTCAGCCAAAGTATTAACACAATCTTACGTTGATACCTCGTTATTCTTGCAGGTAAATCGCTCTCTACTCTCAACTCTAAATTTATTTCTTTTTTTTTTTTTGTTAATTATTATATTTAATTTTTTATGGCAGTCTACTGTATTTGTTCAGTTCTAAAGTTTCAGTTTTGTTTATTTATCTGTGGTCGAAGCTAAGTTCTTACCGCAACTCTGGGTATTTCATTTCAAATATTTTAATATTTTTTATTTATTTAAAAAATTACATGTACAAGAATTTTCCTATTCGTTAAATCATCACGATATCAACCAACTTAAATAAAAAAATAGAATAAGAATGAAGAATGCTTAATCCCTAAGTAATCACTTTGTAGTTTTGTCAGTTTTGTCTTTTTATTCAATCTAAAATTATAATTCAATGCAGTATGCCTTACCTCACCTAGCGAATATAAATAAGATCATTAATCAGAAACAGAGGAAATAAAAAACATAACAGAGGGAAAATGCAGGGGTGGAGCAAATGCAGAATTGAGCTACCAGAGACGGTGGTGATGGAAATCCTCTCAAAGCTTCCTGTTAGATCCCTCACACGTTTCAGGTGCGTTTGTAAGCGGTGGTGTTCTTCTTTTCAAACCTCTCATTTCAGTACAAAACATCAGCATAACAACCTCAAAAACAACAACCTTAATCTCCTCCTCAAACGTTGTCATGGTAACACCCATGATGACATCCATTATTTCTCTGCACTTTCAACTGAAAAAGGCCAAAACTTTTTAGTAAAAGAGAACATTCACTTACCCTTTTTTCAGAATTGTTGGTTTGCTCCTGTAGTTTCTGGTCCTTGTAATGGATTGCTGTGTTTACATGACGCTGGTAAGGTTGCCCTTTGGAACCCATCAACCAGAGAGTTTAAAATCCTTCCTCAATCCTCTGTCCAACGCCCTTCTTCCGTAGATTCCACTAGTTTTGGTTGCCTTGGATTTGGGTTTGATTCTAAAACTGATGACTACAAAGTCGTAAGATTTGTTACTAATTATTTTAAGGAGAATGAAGAGGAAGGCTTTCTACCCGATTGGAACCACCAAGTAGAGTTGTATTCACTTAAAAATGATTCCTGGAAGGAAATTTCAGTTCCTGAGGCACATCCTTATGGTTCTCCTTTGTTTAATAATTACATAAATGGGTTTTATTATTGGCAGGCAACTGGGGATTCTGATTACCGTATTCTTTCATTTGACATGGCTAATGAAAACTTTGCAACTTTACCTTTGCCAAAGTTTGGTGGGTCTTTAGCACAATATTATTTGCAACTTCTGGACTTTAATGGATTGCTGGGTGCTATTGTTTACCCAAGGGAGGGAACTGAAAAGTCGTTTGATTTATGGGTTATGAATGGATCATGGACTAGACAATTTAGTATTGAATCTGTTTCTGGAGTTGAGAGGCCATTGGGGTTTTGGAAAAATGGTGAATTGTTTCTTGAGGGCTCAAATCATGAACTAGTGTTGTTTGATCCTGCCACCCGAGAGCTTAAGAATCTTGGTATCCATGCTTATCAGAATACAATGCAGCTTATTCCTTATGTTGAGAGCTTGGTTCCAATCAATGGAAGATCAGAGCATGAGGAACATATAATACGTCAGCCGGCTGGTAGATATTGAAAATTAAGAGGGCAAAGGAAATAGAACAAAAGGGCTAAGCTTTCATGGTATTTTTTTTCTCTTGGTAAATACTTATGCAGTTTATATTGACTATGTTCTCTTGTGAGCTTCTCCAATAATGCTGTTATTGTTTGGATTTTGTGTCAAAGATTTGGCTTCTTCGGGGTGTTTACCTGGTACACAAACAACCTGGTTTGTAAATTTTCAGAAATATGGTCTTACTTTAAGATATGTTTTTACTTTTATCATGGTAGTTTGCTTTTACTGTCGGTTTTTGGTTGTTTAGTGAATTTGCAAGATTTCTGCCTAGAGAATTGCTTAGTTGTTTACCCTTATCTGTGAAATTTTAGTAGTTTAGTTAATCTTTTGTGACTTTCTTCTTTTTTCAGATGACCAATGACTTTTTGATGTTAAGCTTGGTGCAACTATTGTTTGCTCTGTTTGGAAAGCTGGGTATGTGTGCCCTGTGTTGCTTAGGAACAAAAGAAAGGAAAAAAAAAAAAAAAAGAGAAAGTTTTAAGCTTTTAGCTCAAGTAAACGTGCAGGTTTGAGTTTGCTCCTCATGGACATTTTGAGAAAATAATTTAAATAATTTTATAAAATCATTTGCTTTAAAAGTCTCAAATATTAAAAGAATGCAGTCTCTCACAGTTTTCTTGTAGTTATTGGATGCAGTAGGGACAAAGATGCTTTAGGAAAAAAAATTAGCCTAAAATTGAAGCAGTGGCGATTTTAATCTGAGTTAACATGGTAAAAGAGAGGAACATATATATGTCATTTAGTTGCTTGCTTCGTCCTTGTACTATACTGTTGCAATTTATTAATGTGAGTGATGTTGAAGTGCTTGGAAGAATGTCTGTTATTCTTGATAATGAATTTGTTTTCACAACTGAAATAGAGGTTGATACATTAAGAATGTTTTGATTGTTGAAGAACCCCTTCCAGGTTCAAGCTTCTTGTGTTCAGTGATAGCATGTAGCCTAAAAATGTGGTGACAGAAGAACTTGATGTTGTCTACTTCATTTTTTTCTCTTCAAATGTTTTCTTCATGGTTATTTATAAACATTGGAATGAAAGCTTGTGTGCTGTCTATAATCCCAGTTTCTAAATCTTCAATACTTAAATACCATCTGTAGGTCAATAGATTTAACAAGCACAGAAAAACAACAATATATCATAGTTTGGAACTGAAGTTCTTGAGCTCATTCCTTGGTGTTTAATCATTTTGGTTATTCTTGAGGATAGTTGTGTCAATAATTCTTGCCATGTAAAATTTCATTTGTAGGGCTCTAAAATAGTATGATTTTTAGCAGTAAATTTAACTTTTTTTTGTCCTTTCAGGGTTTGCCAACCTCCTAGCCAAAGATAGTTTATTGCAGGTAAACTTGATAGTTGGCTTTATATTTGAAATTTCATTTTCCCTTGGTAGCTTTTGTTGATATGTTGAATTTAGAATATGGTTTCAATAGTTATGTCATGGAATAAAAGTAGAATATGGTTTCAATAGTTATGTCATGGAATAAAAGTAATGTCCCTAAACTTGTTTAAGGATATCTGGATTGGCAATGGTACCTTAATCTAGTCATAAAAAGACCTTTTCCTGAGAAGTGCCAGTTTCAAGTTTCTCCATTATGTTTGTATTCCTTTGAATGTATGAGCCGAGGGTGCATGAATCGTAGTTGTCGGGTTTAATGGTGTGGTGAAAATAGAGTATCTGATGGAGATAATATTTATGTTGTTGACTAGCAGGGCTGTTTTATGGCAGAGAAATTGCATTTTAGTTTATACAAAATATGCCAAAAGAAAATGGAACTACGTATTTTCTTACTAAAATGGTTGTCATTAGCCACATTTGAGATTGCTTCACCATATTTCTCATTTGAATTAATTATACTTTTGATATTTGAGCTTTGGGTAAATGAACAAATTGGTACTTGAAAAAACTTATAATTTGTATCATGAATTTTTAAATAATGTATTATTTTAATCCAAATTTTAATAATATTAACTTGTTTACGTAGTACTTAATCAGTATAATTTTATTGTATACCGATTACTATATATCAAATAAAAATGTTAAATATTTTGTAAAAACTTTGTTATATGACAAAAAATGAGTGATCAATATTAGGTATTTCTTATGATTTAGGTAAAAAATATATACATATTTTTAATTTTTACTGAAAAAAAAAGAAGATGTTTATAGTATATGTGGTGAACTCATTACTTGATAACATTTATCAAGCTGAAATGATAAATGGGATTAGAGTTTTAATTAATATAATAGATAATTTAAAGTTTCAGAGTGTATAAAATTTACATTATTTGAAAGTTTAAAATACAAGTTGTACATTTTATTTGTTGATATCAATTTGTACATTTGTTTTCAAAATTTAGGCATCAAAATTATAATTAACTCTTCTTATTTTGTGCAGGTGAAAGTAAAAAGTGTGGTACAAAGAGGCTTACAGGGTGAATAACCTCTGGTGCGGGGGATCGAGCTACATCTGCTACGAGCTTAACTCCAGTTATTCTTCTCCTCTGTGTCTTTATAATGTGGAGTAGTTAAAAATCATTAAGTGGAAATCAAATTTGGAACCTTTTTATTATTATGGAAATGTTTATGTTTTATTTAAGATATGTAGCATTGGATGATTTATACATAAAAGTTCATATTTTAGTTATAGCGCTTCCTTTAATGATTTATACAATCTTTATTATTAAGAGTACGTCGGATAATTTGTATATCAATATCGTATTTGTTTCGTATCAAATTAATTTAAAACACAAGAATTGTATTGTCAAATTCTTATCAAAATGTTAAATGTGAAACACATTTTTATTTCGTCAAATTCATATAGGGTTTTTGAAAAAATTTTAAATCTTGTTTTTTTATAATTTTTTATATAATTTTTGCATTATCTTTAAAATTAATAGATCTACTTAAAAAATAACATTCAATAAATTTAAAATTTTAATTCTAATATCTACAATCTCTTTTACAATTATTAAGTTTAGACTTCATTATAAAAAAAATGAGTTTCCTTTAATTTGCCCTATTTAAATTTAAAATTTAAAAAAGAAAAGAAAATATCTTTATTATTCTCATTAAAATGTGGACTTACAAAGCCTTTTTTATCATTATTTTCTCCAATTAGGCTATTTTTCTTCTTTTCTTGTTTTCAAAAAATAAGTTCAGAAAATAAAATATCCTAATTTTGAGTATTTAACTTTAGGGTAAAATACATAATTTATCAATCAATTATAATCATATTTTAAAAATAATTATTTAATTATTAAAATTTTTAATTTAATTACTAAAATTGGAATAATTATTTTTTATCTAATCATTAATCTTTAAAAGCATATTAATATGAAAATATCTAATCAGCTCTCAAATATCATATGACATTACTAAATCGTTAAAAGAGTAAATATATTTTTATGTATTTATAGATGAATATTGAGAAATTGAGCAAGTTATATATATATGCCAAGTCGTCGGCAAAGATTGTTCAAGAGCAGCAGGAAAAGGTACATTTCATAATTATCCTATTTAATTTTTTTTCCTCTAATTTCACAGCAGTTTTAGGTTGAATTCTGTTGTGCATTGTGTTTGAGTTGCTTCCTTCTCAGCAGGAGATACATAAAGTTGAAGGGTCTAACTTAGGGATATTGCGTTTTGGATGGTTTATGCCACGAGCTCTTTGACTCTCTCGGGAGGAGCCATTGCTATCCAATATTTGCTTTGCGTGGATTTAGTATAACCATTGCCCTGGCTTCGTCCTCCATGCTTATAACCTAAAAATAGTAGTAACAATCTTTAACTGGAGGTTGTTGGGCCCAATAAGTCCAAAGCCCAAAGCATCCCCAAGAAACCACCAGAAGAAAAGTAATTCAGTTGGCTTCTTAATGTCAACTGTAAGTGCATTCGATATTATAAAATACGATATAAAAATAATATATATAAAAATTATAAAAATAATATAACTTAAAATTTTAATAAAATTATAATTAAATTTAATAAAATATAAAATATATATTTTTATATTAATATAAATTATAATATAATTTTTATATAAAATATTATATAAATACATAAATTATTAATATTTTATATAATATAAATTATTAAATTATTAAATTTTCATATTTATTATATCATACCACATATTCTTTTAAAAATATGACTAATACGTTACTTATCTCGATAAATATAATTCGTGTCATGCACAAAAAATATAAAAACCTCCAAACATGTCCTCAGTCAAGTCGCGTATAGACTTCAACCGATCTAACCCATAAAACACAAAAACAGATCTCATCTATAGCAATGCAGTAAGGCAAATTAATAAATAATTAATAAATTCACAAAAAAGAGAAACATGTTTGGTACGGAAACATAACAATTTTGAAAAAAAAAATAGGTAAGGTAAATCAATAAATTCACAAAAAGACAAACATGTTTGGTATGGAATAAGCCAAACAAGTTTGGTATGGAATAAGCCCCAAGAAAATTAAGATTCTTACAAGAATTAATAAATTCACAAAAAGACAAACATGTTTGGTATGGAATAAGCCAAACAAGTTTGGTATGGAATAAGCCCCAAGAAAATTATTCTTACAAGAATAAACAAATGTGTAAATAAGATCATTTTTGCACTAAACGAACCTATATATATATATATATATATAGAAAAATGTGTAATTTTTTCTTTTAAAAAAATTTCTATCTGGAGATATTATCATTCTAAACCCGACAAGACATTAATCGAAAATGGGTGCATAACAAATGTGAACAATTTTTGAGTGAGGCTACGTTTGGTAGGAGGAAATTAAGAAATAAACAATGTATGCAAAAAAATAAAAATGTCCAAGGAAAACTGGGGTTTAGTGAACAACGTTAAGACCTTAAATTTCCTAATAATAACAGAAACTAAAGTAAAAAATAACAGCCTAAAGGTAAGAGAATAGGTTGCAACTTAATGTAAAAAAAAATTGTAACTTAATGATAGAAAAAAATTATGGATATTAAAATTTAAATTTTAAATTTGTTGAAAATTATTTTTAAGATTAACTCATAAACCAATTGAGTTAAATCATGAATTTAAGTTGGACAAACTTTTTAATGATACTCTCTTATAATTAAGATTATTAATAATCAATAAACCAACCTTCCCTAATTGCAAGAACTCTCTAATGACATATTAAAAACATGTAGTAAAGCAAATTAACAAATACTCAAAAGGAAAAAGACAAACAAGTTTGGTAGTCAATTAGCGACAAAAAATTCTTTGGATGGACAATATTTAAAATCGATTGAGAACCAAGACACTGTCATTCTGATCAAACAAAACTACTTAATAAATACAATGTTCACTTTAAAACCACAGCCATGATAGATGCTGCTCACATGCATGAACTGATCTCTAATGAATATTTTCAAACTTCTTTAAATTTGCTATGAATTACTATTAGTTTTTGTCCAAAATATGAATAACCTCCTCTTTCAAAATATCCCAAAAAAAAAAAATTGTATAAACAAGATTTTGTTATCTCATTATATCTAGGGAAAACTGAGCTTATATTTTAGTAAAATAGAAATCTAGTGATGATACGTTAAGTTTTAATAAATTAAGTAGGTCACTATTTAATCACATGAGATTTATCATAGTCAAAATAAAAAATTACAAAATCACTCTTATTTATCATGTCTAGCATCGATCCACTACATTTAGGATTAAATTTAGGATTTTGTTTTTGGGATACTCCTTAAAAAAATGAAATCTTGATTAATAAGAAAAATGAACTTCTGTCATTATCAATTAAATTAATCCTTGGTTGTTGTCCGGTTGCAAATTATGAAAATGTGATCATTAATGTAGAGTTCCATTGTACGCGGATATTAGTGTTATAAAAATCACCCTCTTGAATAATTCAATAGACAACCATATAGAGTTGTTGAGTGTTAGTGGAAAGCAAAATTGGCATTGCTTGTAACAATGCCGTGGTATTTATGGGTGGCTGCTGTGGTGGCTTGTGTCTCAGCCTGGTTTGGATTAAATCTACAGCCATTTACCTTCAACACCCTCAGGCTCCAGCGACAATTTGCTACCACAACAGCTCCGAGAGCACCGACGGCGGGGCCGTTCACCTTCTACAAATTGAGTCTGCAATGGCCACCTGCTGTATGTAACTCTGGCGGCATGACTTGCAAGCCTCCTATCCCTAAAATTTTCACCATCCATGGTATTTGGCCACAAGATAACAATGACGTTCCAGTGCCCCCTTACGATCCAACAAATCCTTGTACCAGTGTCACACCTACTCCTGCAACTGATCTCCCAGTACGCGCATGATCATCCTATCAATATTCTATAATTTACTTTCGTTTATGTGAAAGTATTACTTGTTAGTTATCTAACAAATTTTTCTGCCCTTCTTTTTTTTCATTTTTAAAAGACTAAGCTGAATCCAATTCTAAACGACTTAGTATCACTATGGCCAAACTTAAAGGACCCTCAGAGCACGGCGCAAAACTTCCAATTTTGGGAGCATGAATGGACAAAGCATGGAATGTGTTCTGATTACCCTGACCAACCTCGTGACTACTTCAACTCTGCCTTACAGCTCAGGAAAGGCTTAAATCCTGGTGACTATTTCTAGTATATACTTGATTAAACCTTACTCTTTTATGAACCAAATTGCTGGGAACTCATGTTACTCCCACTTCCTAACATATTTTCTCTGATATGCATTAATTATTGTTTTGATCCAGTTATGGGACTTACACCTGGGTCAACTTATACGGTACAACAAGTTGCAGCTGCAGTTCAAAGTGCAGTGGGAGCCTATCCTGAGATTGCTTGCAACAAAGACAAAGTGACAAAGAAACTTCAACTGTGGGAGATTCGTTTATGCTATAAAAGGGCAATGCCTCCCCAGACGGTCCAAAACTGTCCAAAAAGTTTCTCAGGCCAGTGTCGAAGCCTAAGTGATAATATATATTTCCCTAAGTAGTGCTCCTCACCTCTCGTAAAATCTTTGAATAATGTCCCAAAGTAATGGTAGTAACACTTCGGCCTGCACCACCCTCAATATTTAAGGTTTTTCCTTATGTTCCCTTATTTTTAAAGGTTAATCAGTGTGTTAAATTACTATTTAAGAAAAAAATAAGTTAACTCATGTAAAGATGAGAAGCTCACTTTCCTGAAAAAAAAAACAAAAGATAAATGAAAATTGGTGAAAAAAATGAAAAAAAAAAAAGGAAATAAGGGATTTAGAGAGAAAAGTACTGTTAAAAAAATAAACAAATCTATACGATAAATTTTGTAAATAAACAAATTTATCTGTGTGGAAAAATGTGTACTATTTGTTACACTTCGTCATCAAAGATGTGGTTAGGTTTGGTAAGAGGAAAGAAATAAACAATATAAGCAAAGAAAATGTGCAAAGAAAACTGAGGAACAGTGTGAACAACGCTTAGACCTAACCTTTCCTGATAATAAAAGAAACTAAAAAAGAAGTTCGAAATCAAATTGGTCAACACCCTATAGCTAGGCTAGCTATTTGCAAATGGATCAAACATTTTTATGACAATGTCTCATAATTAAAATTCACCATAACAAATAAAATAATCTTTTCAATTAAATTAATTTAAAAAAAATGATATTGAACAAATATGAATTTTAAATTACAACACTTATAATTTATTTTATTGTTCTTATATTACAACTTCATATATATAAGATAAAATCTTCACTTATTGAACGAACTCTCTACTGACGTATTAAAAAATTTGTAGAAAGGTGAATTAATAAATTCTCAAAAAGAAAAAAAGAGACAAACATGTTTGGTAGACAATAGGCGACAAAAATTTCTTTGGAAAGACAATATATTTAAAATCAACCAAGAAACTGTCATTCCCATAAAACAAAACTTTTAAAAAATGCTATGATCACATGCATAAAAATCACAACCATGTTACATAGATGAAAAAAAAGTTCATATATTATAATCTAAACACCTTATGTTGCTGCTCACATACATGAACTGAACTCAAATGAATAATTTATTATTTTTTAAAATTTACTATGAATTACTATTCGTTATGTCCTCTTTCAGAAAAAAATCAAACAACTGTAAT